CTAGGAATTTACCCTAAGAATGCAGCAGCCCAGTCTGAAAAAGACAAATGCACGCCTATGTTTATCGCAGCACTATTTACAATAGCCAAGAAATGGAAGCAACCTAAGTGTCCATCAGTAGATGAATGGATAAAGAAGAGGTGGTACATATACACACTGGAATATTACTCAGCCATAAGAAGAAAACAAATCCTACCATTTGCAACAACATGGATGGAGCTAGAGGGTATTATGCCCAGTGAAATAAGCCAGGTGGAGAAAGACAAATACCAAATGATTTCACTCATATGTGGAGTATAAGAACAAAGAAAAACTGAAGGAACAAAACAGCAGCAGAATCACAGAACCCAAGAATGGACTAACAGTCACCAAAGGGAAAGGGACTGGGGAGGATGGGAAGGAAGGGAGGGATAAGGGTGGGGAAAAAGAAAGGGGGTGTTACGATTAGCATGTATAATGTGGCATTATGCCCCATGGGGGGCATGGGGAGGGCTGTGCAACACAGAGAAGACAAGTAGTGATTCTACAACATCTTACTACACTGATGGACAGTGACTGTAATGGGGTTTGCAGGGGGGACTTGGTGAAGGGGGGACCCTAGTAAACATAATGTTCTTCATGTAATTGTAGATTAATGATAACAACAACAACAAAAATCAATGGACAGGAAATGAGGGTGGGTGATGTCCAATCTGATTCCAAGGTTGGAAAAGTCGTGCAGTACCCAACAGGCACACCCCGTTAGTAAGTCATTGGGATTATAAATGAAATGAAAATATTTTTTTTGTCAAAAAAATAAAATACTTCAAAACCAAGTGGGTAAAAATCTCACTGTAGATCTGCATTAACAGACGCACACTGAAATCGATTCTAATGGGAGGGAACATTAACTTTGAGCCACATTTAGGGAAATGTTATCCTCCACTACCAACCCTCACTCCCCAAGCAGAAAATCATTGTTATTAGGGAACCCGGACACATGTTTCTTTATCTGCCTACCCCTCTCCCTCTAGAGTAGCCCCAAATGCTTAACATTCCTTCACTGCTTTGCGGGAATCTTATCCTTTCTGTCTCTTCCCTACAGCTGATTACTAGAAATGGTTGACAAACTGTGTTGCAGAACCAATAGTTCAATATAAAACACACCAGTTTTAACACAAAATACTCTAGGATAAACATGAAATACTCCAGGACCCCCGGATGATACCAGGAAACCAAAATCAATGCAAAACTCCTAGAAGTTTCGAGGTCTCTCTAGTTTCTGCCCTAACTTTCACATTCCTTTGCTAATCGTATATAACCTGCTGCTCGACTCAACCAGGCAAGGCAGATTTGGGAATGTTTCCCTGCTTTTTTGGTGGGCTACCCTCTAATAACGAAGCTTTCTCTGCTTCAACCCCAGTGAGTCAGAGATTGGTTTGTTGTGCATCAGGCTTATGAATCAGATTTGGGGGTTCAGTAACATTAGTAAACCTAGTCTGAAATAAAATTATATTCAATTATTTTTTTTAACATATTTTGAATTTCGTCAATTAGAAAAATGTAGCTATTTGTCTCCTCCCTTGTTATCTACGAAACTCCAAAATATCTTAAGAGTTTGCCCCTTGGCCCACAAAGTCTTAAGTACAGTAATTACCGTCAGCCTTTTACAGAAGTTGGCAGACCCCTGCGCTGGCACGTTTCTGGAACTAAACATGGGTGCCCCTCTAGAAACCAGCAACTCACTCAGAAGAGCACTTGGCTGCAGTCCCTGCCCCAGGGTCCTTTCCCACCGGGCAGCTGCTCCCTTGCTCTAGCGACACCCCGCGCGGACCAGAGGGCGCATGCGCAGCCTGGTCTGTGGCGGGCACGCTTGCGCAGGCGCCGGCGACCGCAGGTTGGCTTCGCAGGTGGAGCGCGGGAGAGAGCTTGACCCAGGTCAAGGTGGCCCTGTATGCACGGGAGACCTATCCACTCGCCTGAACCTTGGGGGTCGAAGCCTTGCTTTTTTGAGCGTGGGGCCTCTTTAGCCCGGCTCCTAGAGCTGGTGGGAGGTACATGCTGGGGGAGGTGGATGCCCCTGCGCGCAGGTCCTGCGTTCTCTCAGACACCTCATCTTATCTTGAATGGGGTCTTCTTTAACAAATTTATATTGTGAAATACGGCACACATCTTTTAAAAAGTGCACAAAATAGAGATATACAGCTTATTAGTTTATCAAAATCATTCCTGGAAAACAACCACCAGAAATCAAGTTTCACCAGCCTCCCAGAAGCCCCCCTACCCCCGTCAATGACGGCCTCCTCCAAAGTGTGCAGACACCTGCGCTGCAACGTTTCTCTAATGCCTTAAGAGAAAAAAAAGTGTGGCAACCATTGTATTGCTTACATAGTCTTAACAGCCAGCACGGGTCCCTCAGCATTATA